TGGAACCCCCACCCTTTCCCCGCGGCCCCCGGGATCCCCACGCTCATCCCGCAGCTCCCCGGGATCCCGATGCTCATCCTGCAGCTCCCTGGGATCCCCACGCGCATCCCGCAGCTCCCGGGATCCCCACGCGCATCCCACATCTCCCGCCATTCCCACTCTCCTAACGCTCTCTTCCCGCTCTATCCGCAGCTCCCCGGGATCCCCATGCTCCTCCCGCGTCTCCCACCATTCCCACCCTCCTAACGCTCTCCCTTCCCTCCGCAGCTCCCAGGATCCCCACGTTCATCCCACATCTCCCGCCATTCCCACCCTCCTAATGCTGTTCCCTTCCCTCCGCAGCTCCCGGGATCCCCACGGTCATCCTGCAGCTCCCACCATTCCCACCCTCCTAACGCTCTCCGTTCCCTCCGCAGCTCCCGGGATCATGCTCATCCCGCGTCTCCCCCCATTCCCACCCTCCTAACGCCCTCTTCCCTTCCCTCCGCAGCTCCCGGGATCATGCCCCTCCCGCGGCTCCTTCTGTGCGTGTCCGTGTCCGTGTGCGCGTTCCCGCCGGGATCCTCCGCGAAGCCCACGGAGCGCAAGGAGCGGGTGCACCAGGAGGCGCCGCTGAGCGCGCGGGCGCACGACGACGCCAAGAGCTTCGACTACGACCACGACGCCTTCCTGGGCGCCGACGAGGCCAAGAGCTTCGAGCAGCTCACGCCGGAGGAGAGCAAGGAGCGCCTGGGGTGAGCGATTCCCATTCCGAAACTTCCACGGGAAAATTCCCGGCAGGGAGGGTGCCGGAGCGCTGGAATGCGCTGCCCAGAGAGGTTGTGGAGTCTCCTTCTCTGGAGATCTTCAAACCCGCTTGGACGCAGTCCTGTGCCACGTGCTCTAGGTGACCCTGCGTGTGCAGGGCTTGGACTGGGTGATCCCTAGAGGTCCCTTCCAACCTTCACCATTCCGTGATTCCATGATTCCTGGGAATCCCCCTTCCCATGGGATTTGCACGTTGCTGAGCACCACAATCATCGCTTGCTCCCGTTCGTTTGCTGCTCTTGGAGAGGGATATGTGGGAATGTGGGTGGGCATCGCCCTGCTGAGCGTGAATCCCACTGGATGGAGCCTGGAAGGGCCCTGGGATCGCTCGGATCCCCCCCCATTCTATTCCTCAGCCCGGTTTGGAAGGAGATGGGAATTCCTGAGGATGGGGAATGTTCCACTGCTTCCTGCCGGGAATGGCAGGGACAAGGAACATCCTGCTGCTTCCTGCTGGGAATGGCGGAATGTCCTGCTGCTTCCTGCTGGGAATGGTGAGGACAGGGAACATCCCGCTACTTCCTGCTGGGAATGGCGAGGACAGGGAATGTCCCGCTGCTTCCTACCGGGAATGGTGAGGACAGGGAATGTCCTGCTGCTTCCTGCTGGGAATGGTGAGGACAGGGAACATCCCGCTGCTTCCTGCCGGGAACACTGAGGACAGGGAATGTCCTGCTGCTTCCTGCCGGGAATGGTGAGGACAGGGAACGTCCTGCTGCTTCCTGCTGGGAATGGCGAGGACAGGGAATGTCCCGCTGCTTCCTACCGGGAATGGTGAGGACAGGGAATGTCCTGCTGCTTCCTGCTGGGAATGGCGAGGACAGGGCGCTCCACTGCGCCCGGCTCCGCGATTCCCGCTGCCGGGAATTTCCAGCCGCCGGAGCGGTATTCCCTTTGGGAATTCCCTTTGCGGCGCCCGCTTCGGGACACCCTCCCATTGGAGAGGGCTCCGAGCCCTCCTTCCCAAAGGCAGATTCCAGCTCCGTAACTCCTATTCCCCCTGGAATTGCAAATGGAGGCCGATTCCCTGCCCTGGGAGGGAGCAAATCCCAAGGATTCCTCCTGATCCAGCCCCTCTGCTCGCTTGGACACGAGCGAGGGAAGCAGCCGCTCCAAACCCGCTGCTTTTCCTGGGAAAAATCCCCCAAATCCGTCCCGGCGCCGCGTTCCGGCCGCTCCGTCACGGCTCTGCCTCCTAATCCCATTGTTCTGCCGCGTTTTCTGCTGGAAAAGCTGCCCGGGAAGCGGCGCCGCCTCAGACTTTCCATGGGGCGTCCCATAAAACCCGTTTTTTGGTAAATTCCCACAATTACCTCAGCCTTTCCGCAGTCCATATCCCTGCTCCAAGGGCAGAGCCTCGTTTTCCACGGATTTTTCCCTCCAGGGAAGCGTTTGCTGCCCCAGGATCCCGTTTTTGTGCCGATCCCGCCGTTTTCTGGCACGACGGGATTCCCGGCGCCGGCCGCTTCCCGTCGAAGGCCGCGGGATTTGGGGAAACCGCTGCCTCGGGGTAAGGGAAAAGAGCGGGAGGGAAAAGGCCCCGTGTTCCCGGGATCGTCCTTGGCACATCCTTGTGTTTGGAAGCAAATCCCTTGTGAAACCACAAAGCCTCGAAGCGCAATTTAATGCTGTTTAATCTATTTAATTATTTAATCTATTTAGCTCAATTTAGCTCTATTTAACTAGCTCTATTTAACTAGCTCTATTTAACTAGCTCTAATTAACTATTTAACTCTTTAACTAACTATTTAGCACTGTTTAGCTCTAACTCTATTTAGCTCTGTTTAATCTATTTAGCTTTATTTAACTAGCTCTATTTAACTAACTATTTAATTAACTCTTTAACTAACTATTTAATTAACTCTTTAACTAACTATTTAATTAACTCTTTAACTAACTATTTAATTAACTCTTTAACTAACTATTTAATTAACTCTTTAACTAACTATTTAATTAACTCTTTAACTAACTATTTAATTAACTCTTTAACTAACTATTTAATTAACTCTTTAACTAACTATTTAATTAACTCTTTAACTAACTATTTAATTAACTCTTTAACTAACTATTTAATTAACTCTTTAACTAACTATTTAATTAACTCTTTAACTAACTATTTAATTAACTCTTTAACTAACTATTTAATTATTTAACTATTTAATTAACTCTTTAACTATTTAATTAACTCTTTATTTAGCTCTGTTTAGCTCTGTTTAACTCTATTTAGCTCTATTTAATCTATTCAGCTCTATTTAACTAGCTCTATTTAGCTCTATTTAACTCTAACTCTATTTAGCTCTATTTAATCTATTCAGCTCTATTTAGCTATTTAACTAGCTCTAATTCTACTTAACTAGCTCTACTTAACTAGCTCTATTATTTAACTGCATTTAACTCTAGCTCTGTTTAGCTCTATTTAATCTATTTAGCTCCGTTTAATCTATTTAGCTCTACTTAACTAGATTTATCATTTAACTATTTAACTCTATTTAACTAGCTCTATTTAGCTAGCTCTAACTAGCTCTCTTTAGCTCTATTTAACTGTATTTAACTCTGTTTAACTCTATTTAATCTATTTAGTTCTATTTAGCTAAATATTTAACTAGCTCTAACTCTACTTAACTAGCTCTATTATTTAGCTCTCTTTAACTAGCTCTCTTTAACTAGCTCTATTATTTAAGCTCTCTTTAACTCTCTTTAGCTCATTTAACTCCTCTTAGATTGCAGGTTGGGATGGTCGTTGCCGTCTCTTCCGTGCAGGATCCGGCACGGAAAACTCCGGAGCGTTCCCGCTCCAGGGGGTGGCTCCGGCATTCCCGAACGCGGGAGCCGCTTTGGGATCGCGGAAACCAAACGGGGAAGGAAAACCCCAAACCGGGGGCTCCGGCCACGGCCGCATCCCGAACGCTCCCGGGAACGCCGGGATGGAGGGAGAAGCCGTCCCCGCTTCCCGGCCGGCCCCTCGGAGCGCTCCGCATTCCAGGGGCTTTTCCTGGCAGCTGCTGCTAAAAATACCCGGATCGGCGGCCGCCGGGATGCGGGCGGCTTTTCCATGCGCGCTGCAGCTGCGATTCCTGCATTTCCCGCATCCGCAGCCTCCGCTTGTCCCGCTCCCGCTTTGCAGCGGGAAAGCCGCAACGGGGGGGTTTTTGGGGCAAAACCAGCCGGAAAAAGGACTCCCGAAGGATGCAGCTGGGTGAAAACGCCGCTTTCTGCACCCAAAGCAGCGCGCGGCGGCCACCGAAGGTGGCACCAAGTGGCACCTCGGTGACGGTGCCACCGAAGCGGCCCCGGTGCCGCCGCGGCGCCCCGTTCCCCTTAACTTGTCCCGGATTTCTCTGCATTCCCTACAGAAAGATTGTAAGTAAAATAGATGAAGACAAAGACGGGTTTGTCACTGTGGACGAGCTCAAAGCCTGGATAAAATTTGCCCAAAAGCGCTGGATATTCGAGGATGTCGAGCGCCAGTGGAAAGGGCACGACCTCAATGAGGACGGCCTCATTTCTTGGGACGAGTATAAAAATGCCACCTACGGCTACATCCTAGGTAGGTCCCCGCTCTTGGGACGATCCCGTTGCGGAGCCGCCGCGTGAAACCTGCTGTTTTGTCTCGCAGAATGATTGTAGCTAAGATAGACACGGATAAGGATGGGTTTGTGACGGAGGGGGAGCTCAAAGCCTGGATTAAGAAGGCCCAGAAGAAATACGTGTATGACAGTGTTGAGCGGCAGTGGCAGGACTTTGACCTGAACCGAGACGGCCTGGTGTCCTGGGATGAGTACAGAAACGTGACATATGGCACTTACCTCGGTAAGGGCGACGGAGGCACGGAGCGGGAGAGCCGGAGGGAGCCCAGAACGGCGGGTGCAGCCCCCGGATTCCTGCCCTCGGGCACGGCTGGGGAGCTGAAAATGGCAAATCTGCCCCCAAAAATCCTGCTCTTGGGCAGGTTTGGGGAGCCAAAAATGGCAAATCTGCCCCCAATTCCTGCTCTTGGGCATGGCTGGGGAGCCAAAACCCCAAATTTGCCTCAAATTCCTGCTCTTGGGCATGGCTGGGGAGCCAAAACCCCAAATTTGCCTCAAATTCCTGCTCTTGGGCATGGCTGGGGAGCCAAAACCCCAAATTTGCCTCAAATTCCTGCTCTTGGGCATGGCTGGGGAGCCAAAACCCCAAATTTGCCTCAAATTCCTGCTCTTGGGCATGGCTGGGGAGCCAAAACCCCAAATTTGCCTCAAATTCCTGCTCTTGGGCATGGCTGGGGGGGCAAAAATGGCAAAATCCCCCCCAAGGAGCCAAAAATGCCCAATCTGCCCCCGATTCCTGCCCTTGGGCACGTCTGGGGAGCCAAAAATGGCAAATCCGCCTCAAATTCCTGCTCTTGGGCACAGCTGGGGAGCCAAAAAGGGCAAATTCGCCTCAAATTCCTGCTCTTGGGCAAGTCTGGGGAGCCAAAAACCCAAATCCGCCCCAAATTCCTGCTCTTGGGCAGGTTTGAGGAGCCAAAAAGGGCAAATCTGACCCAAATTCCTGCTCTTGGGCAGGTTTGAGGAGCCAAAAATGGCAAATCTGCCTCAAATTCCTGCTCTTGGGCAGGTTTGGGGAGCCAAAAATGGCAAATCCACCCCAAATTCCTGCTCTTGGGCAGGTTTGGGGAGCCAAAAAGGGCAAATCCGCCCCAAATTCCTGCCCTCGGGCACGTTTGGGGAGCCAAAAACCCAAGTCCGCCTCAAATTCCTGCTCTTGGGCATAGCTGGGGAGCAAAAAATGCCCAATCTGCCCCCGATTCCTGCCCTCGGGCACGTCTGGGGAGCCAAAAACGGCAAATCCGCCTCAAATTCCTGCTCTTGGGCACGGCTGGGGAGCCAAAAACCCAAATCTGCCTCAAATTCCTGCTCTTGGGCACATTTGGGGATCCAAAAACGGCAAAATTACCCCAAATTCCTGCTCTTGGGCAGGTCTGGGGAGCCAAAAACGGCAAATTTGCCCCAAATTCCTGCCCTCGGGCACGTCTGGGGAGCCAAAACCCCCCCAAATCCGCCTCAAATTCCTGCCCTTGAGCCCATTTTTTGGTGAGCCAAAACCCCCCAAACCTGCCCCCAAAACCACCCCCAGTTTCTACCCTGGAGGACGTTGTTTGGGGAGCCAAAAGCCCCAAATCCCCCTCAAATTCCTCCCTCGGGCACATTATTTGGTGCCTGTTTCGCCCTGCACCCCCGTTGACTTCCTCCTCCTCCTCCTCCTCGTCCTTGTCCCCAATTTGGTGGCACCATCGAAGGGCACCCGCAACTCTGCTTTTTTAATTGGTTTTGGGGCCGAATCCTGCAATTTGGGCAGTCATTTATGGGGCCAACGCCTACGGGGGGCCCCCTCTTGTTCCCTGCTTTTAAGTGCTTTAAGCCCGGATTTCGGGAGCCGCAAAAACAGCGGCGATCCCTAGGAATTCCCGAGCCTGTGCACGCTGCGAATCCCAGCTTTAGACCCCCAAAATGGGCCTTTTTGGGCAAAAAAAGCGGGAGCCTGCGGAGAGGGAGCTGCTCGAAACCCCCGTGCGGAGCCGCGGATCCCCCCGGGGGTTAAATCCCTGGCAAAGCCCGTCCCATCCCGCTGGCAGCTGTTCCGGCCTCCTGGAACGCCGACATATATGGTAGGATGAGCTCCATCCCCAAAGCATGAAATAAAACGGAATTTGCTAAATATTTCCAAAGATAGTCAGCTGCTCCGCGGGATGTATGGAGCGCGGCCGGCTGCTCCGGAGCTTTCGGAACGGGCGCTTAAAGCCCCCGGTTTTCCTGCTCCTCGGGGCTCCGACGGGATCGGAGGGATTCCAAAGGGAATGTTTAGGGAGCCCCAAGAACTCCCGATCTCGGGAAAAAGCGGAATCTGTGCTTAAAATTGGGGATTAAGGAGGGGAGAAGGGCTCATCCCGGAGGCGTTTGGGAAGATTTATGGCCTGCAGGTGCAGGATGTCGTAAAAGGGTAAAAATCCCGAGGGGAAAAGCGAAATCCGCTGGGAATGTCCCCAAAGCCCCGTTGCAGCGCCCGGAGCACCCCGGCACATCCCGGGAAACCCGTTCTCTTCCCGGCCCCGGAGAGGCCCCCGCGGTGCTTGTCCGGTGTCCAAGGAATGGGCAGATCCCGTAATCCAGCCGGGAATGTCCCGGGAACGCAGCCACTTGTCACCGCGATGCCACGTTCCTCCTTTGTCACCTTGATGCCACGTTCCACCTTTGTCACCTTGATGCCACGCTCCCCTTTTGTCACCCCAATGCAACGCTCCCCATTTGTCACCTTGATGTCACATTCCCTCTTTGTCACCCCAATGCAACGCTCTGCTTTGTCACCCCGATGCCACGCTCCCTTTTGTCACCCCGATGCCACATGCCCCCTTTGTCACTGCAGTGCCACACTCCGCTTTGTCACCTCAATGCAACCCTGCCTTTTGTCACCCCAATGCCACATTCCCCCTTTTGTCACCCCAACGCAACGCTCCCCCTTTGTCACCTTGATGCCACATTCGTCCTTTGTCACCCCGATTCAACGCTCCCCCTTTGTCACCCCGATGCCACATTCGTCCTTTGTCACCCTAATGCCACGCTCCCCTTTGTCACCCCAGCACAACACTCCCCTTTTGTCACCCCAATGCAACGCTCCCCATTTGTCACCTTGATGTCACATTCCTCCTTTGTCACCCCAATGCAACCCTGCCTTTTGTCACCCCAATGCCACATTCCTCCTTTGTCACCCCAATACAACACTCCCCTTTTGTCACCCTGATACAACAGTCCCCTTTGTCACCCCAATGCCACACTCCCCCTTTGTCACCTTGATGCCACGCTCCTCTTTGTCACCCCGATGTCACACTCCCCTTTTGTCACCCCGATGCCACATTCCCCTTTTGTCACCCCGATGTCACATTCCCCTTTTGTCACCCCGATGCCACGTTCCCCTTTGTCACCCCAATTCAGTGCTCCCCTTTTGTCACCTTGATGCCACGTTCCCCTTTTGTCACCCCGATGCCACATTCCCCCTTTCCCCCCGGCCCCGCGCTGCTCCCAATCCCCTTTCCCTCGGAATTCCGGCGTGCACAGGCTCAATCCCTCCGCGGCTCCCGCCCCTCCTATCCGCAGGGATAACGGATAGACCAGAGCTCCTCCTCGGAGCGAAAATCCCTTAAAATCGCCCCAAAATGAGGACCCGACCCCGCCGTTCCGCTCCTCAGTGCCACCGGCTCCATTGTCACTGCTCTGTCCTCAAACCAGAATCCCAAATCCCGGCATTGGCCGATCCCGGGGGCTCCCGGCTTCGCTTCCCCGCCGCTGCCGCTTCCCGAAGCCCTTCCCTTCGTCCATGCGGATTCCCGAGTTATTTCCCGGAGTGAAACTCATCCCGGCATCTCCTTGGTGCCAGCAAGTAAATCCCGACACTTTTGTGTCCGTAACTGCAAACTTTTGGGAGAAAACTTGGGAAAAACAGGAGCGAACCCTCCTGCAGCCCAGCAGGGACTGTTCCAGCAACAGCCATTCCCGGGAAAACCGGGTGTTTTGGGAAGAAACGCGGCTCTTTCCATGTTCGGCACCGACGCCAACAGGAGCCGCGTTGGGGCCCGGGGTTTTCCGGATCAATCCCGTTTGGAGGTGCCGAAATCCCGCCCGGAAAGGTGCTAAAATCCCGGTGATCCGGCGGGATGAACTCGGCTTTTAAAGGCAAAGGTTCAGCGGGAGGAATGGGATTAACCGGGATGTCAAATCCCCTTGTTGACCGGTATTTATCGGCCTTGATCCCGCTGTTCCGGGCGCGGATGGGATTGTGAGATCCCGGTTTTCCACCGGGTCTGACTGTTGCTGCAACCTGTGCGTGTCCAGGGTGTTCCCCAAAGCTCCGGGTGACAAAAGAGCCACAAAGCAGCCGGATCCGCTTACGCATTCCCGTCCCGGAATAGCGCTCCAGGCCCCGGAGCGGCGTTCCAGGGGCCGGGAATGGCGCGAGCCCCCCCCCGAAACGCGGCGGCCACAGGCCTCAACTACCGGCAGATGATGGTGCGGGACGAGCGGCGCTTCCGGCGCGCCGACGCGGACGGGGACCTGGCGGCCACCAAGGAGGAGTTCACGGCCTTCCTGCACCCCGAGGAGTACGAGCACATGAAGGACATCGTGGTGCAGGTGCCACCCGGGGTCCCCCAGTGTCCCCCAGTGTCCCCAAGTGTCCCTGGGTGGTCCCGAGTGGCCCCAAGTGGCATCCAGTGTCCCCAAGTGGTCCTGAGTGGCCTCCAGTGTTCCCAAGTGTCCCCCAGTGGCCCCGAGTGGGCCCGAGTGGCCCCAAGTCTCCCCGAGTGTCCCCCGGGGTCCCCAGGTGGCCCTGAGTGTCCCCGAGTGTCCCTGAGTATCCCCCAGTGGCCCTGATTGGCCTCGAGTGGCCCCCAATGGCCCCTAGTGGCTCCGGGGGGCCCCCAGGGTCCCC